TCACTTTGATATTCCCTCCCCTCTGTGAAACCTGAAGCCAACTAAATGGCTAATGATGACTATCAAAACGACTGCCATTGGAAATAAATAAATAAGTAAATTAATAACACAAAACCTACCATTTGATATAAATAAAAAGGGTCAACTAGATATATTTATTTATTTATATCAAAAGGCAGGCGTTTTGATAGTTATCATTAGCCCTGGAGCTGACTTCGGGCTTCACAGAGAGGAGAAGGAACACCAAGGTGAGAAAAAGTCGAGAGGGGGAAGAGAATAATGATTCACAGAGGTAAAAGAGACAGACAGACAGACAGACACAAAGGCATAAAAAAGGTAAGATGAGTACTGCGAAAGGGGTCGAATGTGACAAATAGTCGGGCCATAGAAGTTTGAAGTCAACTGCCGATTAATAGACTTTTTTTGCCGCATAGGTATACATTGCCCAGGGTGCACCACGTGAAGGTAAGTCTATTGCGCACCCCACTAGATATATTTATTAAATGAAAAATCCCAAACTACAGCGTTTTTCTTAACCCTTAAGGCAATCCTCTATTTTTCTCCGGCACTACTTTTCTTAAATACTGTTTCTCTTTCAGGTTTGAAATTGAAGCACTTCTCGGTTTCGATGGTTTCACAAATTCGAAGTTGTCCGAATGCACCAAACCTAAGAGAAAATTAAATATTGAGTGCTTTGGTTCCTTGATTGCCTCAATGCAGAAAATTTGGGAGGCGCAGAGTCGTTTCGTTATTTTTAACGGCAATCAGTGAGTTACTCCCTATTTAATAGAGATAACTTTGCCTTGCGCCAGCTATCATGAGGTCAGTAATAATAATTGGCCTAAAGATAGTCTGTTTGCAGTACCTTATTGCTAATGATTAATTAAATAAAAATCATGGTGATATAATAAATTAGCCATAACTGCAAAGGACTCGTACACAAAGTGATATGTAGGAGCGAAAGGATGACTGTTATTTTTTATTTTATCAAAATATTTATAATCATAAAGTAGAAAGAGAGTTTGTTAAGGAAATCTTAAATGAAATATAAGTGTCTTATAGGAAAAAAATAGAAGCAGAAGAAAGGAGAACCAAAATAAAATAGAAAGTTGACCACTTTGTATGTGTCGTTAGGAATTTCAACTACTCTCCCAGTATCTTTTACACTGACTGACTTTTAGATTACTCTTAAAAAGAAGGTTGTTTACCAATTTACCTAGACAATCAGTCCATTTAACTCTCAAGACCTCTTAAGCTTTAACCGCCATCATTGTGGATAGGTCACCCCCCCCCTTCATCCGCATGCCTTTTACCACATCTAACGGCGACCAAAACCACGGGAACTTGATCTTCCTGTCCTGACAACTTTAGTCATCTTGAAAGTTGATAGAAAATTCCTGGGTGTGCGATAGACTTACCTCCACGTGGTGCACCCTGGGCAACGTATATTCATATGGCAAAAGAGTCTATTAACCGGCAGTTGACTTCTCACTTCAAACTACCATGACCCACTGCATGCCATATTCGACCACTTCCACGGTACTTATCTTACCTTTACTCTGCTCTTTTGTCTGTCTCTGTCACATCTGTGAATCATTATTCTGTCTCCCATCTCGACTTTTTGTCACTTTGATGTTCCTCCTCCTCCTCTCCGTAAAGCCTGAAGTCAGCTAAATGGCTAAAAATAACTATCAAAACGCCTGCCATTTGAAATAAATAAATATTGGAAAATTCCTGAAAATTGTTGGAAAGGCTGAAAAATGAATCACCAACAGTGCAGCATAGTCATCATTATGGATGAGTGAACTTCCTACGTGACGGATCATATAAATCATATAAATTTCAAACACCTCATTCTTCACTAACTGTATGACACCTTTAATCCCGCGCGGACTTTATGCATGCTCAAGCTCTCCATCTCGCACCCCCCCCCCGCACCCCTGCACCCCTCTCAAACTTAAATAAGAATTTCAATGTATAGCGCCTAGTGTTTCCACTTGAAAATCGCGGTCACTCGTTTTTTATCTTTGATAATAATTAAGGCCTTTTAAAATAGGATAGCTTAGGCTCTTATCCAGGCATGTGCATAATATTATGATCACCGGACGTTAAACTAATTATAAAAAAATGACTGGCGACATGAAAGTCATAGTTAATTTAGATTTATCTACAATCCTTAGTAATTTCACTGCAAAGGAAAGAAATTAAAAGTGAATTACAAACTTATCTTTATTTACCATAGCTTGCCGGCCTTATTTACTGCTTAATTCAAATAATTACACTTCTCTCTGATTGATCGCATTATTTCGGTATAAATTTTGCGTTTTTTTAAAGCGCGAACGAATACAACCAGTGATTATTTCATTTGCATTTCGTTTTGGCAATCACCTTGCGATCAAACTGATATTTATCTAACTCCATCTTATTTTCATCTTAAATTGACCGTAATAGTCTAGATAACAAATGCACTAAAATGCAAAGTTAAATATAAATTGTTTGAACATATCGAAACTTGATAAATATTCTCATGGCACCAAAAGTATGTCTATTGAACCGCAGGATTCATAACTTCTCTATTTAGACTAAAATTTTTATAGAATTTTACTTTTAATTGGTGCTTGTTTGCTTTTGACACGTTTCTTCTTTCCTTACTTAGTTATGTTGAAAGAAATTAAGCAAAATCTTCAATAGATGTTTGGTTTTTAAAGAGCAGGCTATTTTACTCATTTACTATTGAGTAATATCTCATTTCCCATTCAAATCAAAGTGATTAAGTTTAACTGATGGCATCATTCACGGTTTTTAAGTGTACATGAACCAACAATTTTTTATGCAAGGTAATTAAACTATGTTCAACAAAAGGGAAGTTGTATTCCTATTTAGTAATTAATACTAAGTTCATTAAACTAATAACGAGTATATGAGATAGATATACAGTAGGAAACGGAAGAGAACCGTTTAATTTATAATTTTGCTATCAGTGTAGAAATTTTCCAGTTGTGTGATTATTAAAAATGCCATATCCAAAGCTGTCCACTTTAAATGATTGTTTGTCAATGTTATTACATCTCAGTAATAAAATAACTTTTATGTGGCATAAGTTAAGTTACTAAAATTTTAATTACTGGCCAAAATTACTTGCTAATTAAAGCTTACTTAACTCAGTTCAATATTGAAAAAACTAATAATTTTTGCACAACTTTATTCCCAGAGCTGATCTGAATGCGCTGACGTATCTAGCAGATGTACTTGAAGACACGGAATACGAATATCTGACAGAAGTATTTGGAAAGGAGTTTGTTTGGATTTTCACTCCTTCTACAATGGCACCGCTTCAGACTGTCAGTCTCACCGCACGTGATAGTATTGTCATGCCGGAATTTACCATGTTCAAGAGAATACCTGGACTGTTCGGTAGGCATTATGATAAATATCTGCTCCTGAGCATATTCATTCAGTTGAAAATGCTATTTCGAACAATAATTTGTTGCGTACTTTACAAGAATGAAAAACTACAAACGAAGCTTGCACGGAAAACATCTATCATCATTTTGAATTTATCAAAAAAACTGCCACCTGCTATGTATGAAAATTTCACTATTCCCTGCTCTTTGCAGTACCAGTTATAGCGTTTTAATTCGTCTCATATGCCTAACGTCAAGTGTGCTCAGAAAATTCCTCTTCCGTTGCCCTTGAAGAACCATCTGCAAACTTTTCATGCCTGGATAAGCCCAGTAAAACGTTTTCAAAATATTTGGAAATAGGTATAGCATTTTATCGACCATGTCTGGGGATTCAGTAATCACAGTAATAGAGATTGCAGTTTCATGCTGTGGACATATCAACTTGCGGTAAGAAGTGCTAAGCATGAGAGGCAATAGATTTAGTGGTCAAAAAGGACAAATTTCATATTTAAATTAGTACATTCTAATTCTGAGTTCCTTAGAAATACTACCTTGGCCTCTTAGTTTCCCCTTCTGTAGAACTTCCGACCTAACAGAAGCTGCTGTGTATCATTTATTTATTTATTTCGAATGGCAGGCGTTATGATAGGTAACATTAGCTCTTTAGTTGACTTCGGGGCTTCACAGAAAGGAAGAGGAACATCAAATTGGCAAAAAGTCGAGAGGGGGACAGAATAATGATTCAGAGACGTAAACGAGACAGACAGACACAAAGGTAGATAAAAGGTGAGGTGAGTACTGTGGAAGTAGTCGAATCTGAAATGCGGTAGGGTCTTGGTAGTTTGAAGTCAGTAGTCAACTGTCAATTAATATACTTTTTGCCGTATGAGTATACGTTGCCCAGGGTGCACCACG